TATTAATCTTTAATTCAGCACATTCGTTCACACAATTAATCAGATTTGGCTCGAATTCGTTTTCATGACACATCTGAAAGAAGTTTATTGTTGAATAAATGTACCAATTGGGATCAGGATGCCCTGCAGATGTGATATGGAATAACTGGCCAGTATGATTACCCTCCACTAAGCCAACTTGGAGGGACATACAGTTGGGGGATGTTGGCACAAACGAAGATGCAGTAAGTTGGATGAGAAAATTTACTATATGAAAGGGGATTAAGGGTTTGGGACATAGCCATAGGAGGTAGATGCTACAATAGTTGAACAGAAATTAGTCAAGAGTTGCAGTTCGAAGTTTCTCGAAGTCTATCAGGCAACATGATCAAGTTTTGAAGCCATACTAGGGCAATACTCATTAACACTCTTAAGGCTTAATATGATAATAAATAAGAAAGTGTTAGTTCAACAACTTCATATAATCGGCAGCTAGGGCGAAGCCAGTGGACCCGAAATGGCTGATTGGGGTTCGAAAAAATTGCTGATATATTCTAACCTATTTCTTTAAGGTTAATGAATATATACCTAGAAGAACATACTTCGTACTTCTTTTTCTGACAATTTCCCTGCCTCTTCCTCCGACATTAAACCGTCGATCTGGTAGATTTCCATTTTTGAGCTCACTTCCATTTCTAGCAAAAGTGTGTGATGAAGAGATTCAAAGGTCGACTCCACCAGAAGACGAGTGTGGATTCTTCTTAGTCAGCACTCTTAAACGCATACAAAAAGCTCAATTAACTAACCATGCGTGTGCTCAACATTATGCCATCGGAGTGATGGTTAACATATAAAAAAGAGGACAGAGATGGCCATTAAACCCAGATAACCAAGAACAGGTGTTACGTTCTGTTAGAAGTAGATACATACACCTGAACTTCAATGGCATCGTGAGACTCAAATCGTTGTGGATAAACTTGCACTATCAAATGTTAGATTGCTTTAGTCAACAGGATGAGTTATTTTGTCATTCAAGAAGTACTGCTAGTTTCGAAATATACTCAGCAAAAATCGCCGTACATTTTCGCCCTCCATTTTGCGAAAACGGAATTGACTAAATTTCACCTTTACCCTCATACGTGAGCTCGACCGTTCGTTCGTCAAGTTGGCGGCGTATCTGTTGAGTGAAGCCTTTAAAATAAAGTGAATCTATAACATTAGTCTAACCACGTATTTACAATTTTATCGAAGTACGTTGTAGGGATTTCTTTAAACATGTTACTACTGTACAACTATACAAGAGACAGCGACTGATCTTCCTAGCCTAACCTAGTCTATCCACTCCTCCCAGCTTCTTTCCACAGGTCACCTTAGCTCCGTTCCCGCAACGCGTCCGGATGTTCGCTACCCTTTCGACCTGATCATCGCGTCCGCCATTCTTCTGCTCATTCTGGTGGCTGTTGCCATAGGACTTTGTGTGATGCACTTTTGTGCGCCCAATTATCCTGATTCGTCTGGTGTTGGCAGCGTCTGTTGTCACTCAGGTGGTCCGACAACTGTTTGGCATCGGTTGTCATGCTGTTCGAGTCGGGTCGCCTCCTGGGACGGTCGTGTTGCAAAGCATCATCTGTTGAAGGAGCATCCTATCGAAGAGGTGGACGGATCAGAAGTTGACGGGATTGAGACGACTCCGGCTTCAAGGCTGCCGAGCAAATTGTCTACTTCTGGTCGTTCAGTAGTTCACTCGTTTGGCCCTCCCTCCAGACATCGTGCCTTCATTACAGGCCTGTTACGGCGAAAACTGTCCGGTTTATTGTCGTCCGGACGATCACGCCTCTCTAAACGCCATTTCCACATGAGACAGGCACCGGTCACCGGAATTCACACAGAAGCTCCAGTATTGGGTCCCCCTTTCACGCCTTGGGCATCATGTGGGAGTGTTCATCCCTCTGGCATGGGATTCTACTGTCCTGGCCAGCTTCCCTACCACCTTTTGACCACATCGAATCAGGCCTATCCGCTGCCTTCACAGACAACTTTAAGCAGCTCTCTGCCACCAGGTTCAGTGTGTAGCGGAGGTTGGTGTTTGTCGCCAAGCCGTGGTTGTCAGCCCCATGAGACCTGTCGTTTCGCCACAAGCCCGACTGTACTAACGCCTGGCAACGTGACTGAAGCCGGTCGAATAATGCTGGAAAGTAGGGGGAAATTTCGAAATTTGACCGTAGCATGATTTAATTTAGGTGTTTTAACTAACTCTGTCTGTTACATGTGACAGTGGTCTAGCCTCTTTTTTGCAACTTGGTCGTATTGTCAGGGTGACCTAGATGAACACACCCTGTCTAAAGTTCTCTTATATAGTAGCTACGATCAGTCCCTTGGTTCATTTCGTCGGCATTGTTAATTACTTTTTCCAGTCTTGGAATCGAGCTACTACTCGTCAAAGAGAATGATAAGACTCATCAACCATGCCCGGGAGACGTTTGAAACTGTATCAAATCCAGGATCCGACGTTATTTACTATCATAATTACTATAGCAGGGGATTTCTGTTCATCTAGATCATCCTGACAGCTCTACAAAGTTACAAATAGGTCAAATCACCTGCGACAGACATCACCAGAACAGGAATCCATACTTTACGAAATTGAGCGAAAATTGACTAAACTTCGGTTTCTGGTAAAACCACATTACGAATTCCTTCTAACCTACTTTTCCTTTGAGATGGAAAGTCATGTCACAATAAATTACGACCACGACTGAAATAGAGTCTTCCAATAGTCAGCTGAATAGACCTCAGGGTGCAAGTTTATTTCCCTTTGCCTCGCCTAACAATATGGCTATCTCGTCCCGGCTCGACTCGACTCGACTGAAGTACAATTTCGACCTCGACCAAACTCAACATTAATTTACCACCCCCAACTGGACTCAATACCATCTCGACGTTATCACTCCACTGCACAGCTACGGATAGTCGGAGTGGATGAGTTATTAGTCAAGGATTAATGACAGCCTCAAACAGATAATATCATCATAAGTAGTAATATACAGAGGCCCAAATTATATTCAGTAATTTTTTTAGACTGTCAGTAACCCTACAATCATATTTGTAGACCTGATGTTTCGAGCAGTGTGAAATTCAATGGTAATATGTGGCCTGGGGTGACTAGAACTATTATAACTTATTTTTCGTATTTAAGTAGGGTTTCGAGACTACCAGTATATCAGTAAAATGAGATGTATTCACCTAATTTAATTTAAGGTGATGAAGGACTGATAGTAGAATTTTCCCAAAGAGCTGACGTTTCCATTGCTTTCCTAAAAGTTGTTCTTACCCAGGGTGGACTACAGTCAACTTTTGTAAAAGTTTAAGTGAAATTCAATGGAAACGTCAGCTATACTCATATCATTGTTGGAAAATTCTACTACCAGTCCTTAATTACCTTAAACGAAATTGGATTAATACATCTCATATTATAGCTTATTATTAATAAGCTAGATTTGTCCATTCATATCAATTTTGCATAATCTTAGTTAAGCTCGATCACATAGAAAGTATGGATTCTGAGGTTTCCATCTGCCTAATGGGTTTCATAACAATTGCTTAAAATCCAGAGGAGGACTTGAGATTTGAGGCTCAGCTAAAGGATCCACGAAGCAGACAAAAGCTGAATTTCATTAAGGGCTATCCAAGGTTGCCTTTGACGCGAGATTCGACCAACTCGCTCTAATATTCAAGATAACCCTTCCAACCACGTCTAAGCCAAATATTCTGAAAGGTAAAATTTGCATAAAGCAGCGATTTGCAAGCTAATTCTAAATCACACTACATTTT